GGTAACATTGGTTTATAACATTGTATAAATTTCAGGTGTACATCATTATACTTCTATTTCTGCATGGATTACATCATGTTCTCATGTTCACCCCCAAATACTAATTACAATCCATCACCACACACATGTGCCTACTTATCCCTTTCCCCCTCTTCCCTCCCCGCTTCCCCTCTGGTAACCACCAATCCAATTTCTGTCTCTATGTGTTTGTTTGTTGTTGTTATTATCTACTACTTAATGAGTGAGATCATACGGTATTTGACCTTCTCCCTCTGACTTATCTCACTTTGCATAATACCCTCAATGTCCATCCATGTTGTCACAAATGGCTGGATTTCATCATTTCTTATGGCTGAGGAGTATTCCATTGTGTATATATACCACATCTTCTTTATCCACTCGTCCCTTGATGGGCACTTAGGTTGCTTCCAAGTCTTGGCTATTGTGAATAACGCTGCAATGAACACAGGTGTGCATGTATCTTTATGCATTGGTGTTTTCAAGTTCTTTGGATAAATACCCAGCAGTGGAATAGCTGGATCGTATGGTAATTCTATCCTTAATTTTTGGGGTTAGGATTTCGACATGAATTTTGGAGGGACACAAACATACAGTCCATAACACCCGCCAAGGCTGAGGTTAGGATCACCCTTTGTGCGACCACAGGCACGCTCTTCCTACTTCCCTACTGCAGTCCTGCATTACAATGGCCTATTTCCCAGGTGTCATCTATTCAAAGTCTGGACTGGCTTGTTCATAGCTGTGTCCCTAGTATCCAGCACATATGACATTAGTTGTCTGATGACTAATAATGTAAGAACTGCATGTTATAGGGATCCCTGCTGCCTCTTTCCAGAACTTACTAATGGTTTGGAAAACATAAAACAAATTTATCAATTTTGTAGATAATACAAAGTAGGGAAGATGATAGAATCAAAATTCAAAAATAAACCCATTACACCCATGTTCTCAAAATAAACGGTAACTAATTCTGAAGTAGGAGGACTAACTGCCTTCACACAAAGAAAATATGAATTTTTCATATCTTTATGACAGAAGGTAGGTGCAATTTGGAGCCAGGTACCTGCTGAAGTCAGGCTGCTATACTCCCATGAAAGTGGGAGATTGGGGTGCTATCTTCCTTGATGATTATCTTTCAAAGTGATGACTCCAGGTCCAATTCAAGGAGAAATCCTGGATTGTAAAATAGGCAAGAGGCTTATTAGCCTTTAAAAAGGTTTACATACGCTTCGAGAGGCAGAGAAAGAGCCTACAATGAAAAGTTTTTCTAAAGTAAATGTTCTTTTTCTCTTTTCTTTGCACCAGGCAGAATTAAATATTTTTCTTATTTCTAATTTGTTTTACCCTTACACCAACAGCATTAGCACCACCTAGGAACTTTGGTTGGAAATGCAAATTCTCAGATCCCAACCCAGACCTATTCAATCAGAAACTCTGGAGACACGGTCCAGCAATCTGGTTTTTAATAAGCCCCTCAGGTGATGCTGATGCTCCCTAAAGCTCGAGAATCACTGTACAGGACTATGGAGAGCAGGCCATTTGAAAAGGAGCTAGGGAAGATGAAGGATTTTATTTTACCTGAATTAACAGTTATCTGCAGTTTGCATTACACAGGTAGTCACCAGCACTGCTAGCACATTACCTTCAATCAATTGACAAGAAATTAAGATGTCTGAAATAAAGATATTAGAAGAACCTTAGTTTAACCAAGACAGTCAAATCTTAACAACTTGTATAACAGAGGGAAATAAAAGCAAAAGCATTATAAAAAAAAATCATGATCATTGGCTCTAGAGTGCATTCTCTAATTTAATATATGAAGAGTTGCCTGATTTTCTGGCAAATCACAAAATGCCCAAATCAAGTAAAGCTGAATGAGCCAAGCCCAAGAGAAACTAGATAATGGTGCAGTTTTGTCACGTGGACCCCTTAAGTTCACCTGGCTTTCTACTGGGGGACCAAATGTATCCTTTATTAGTGCTCTTCAATTTTGGATGCAAATTGGCATCACTTTAGGCTAAAAAGTCACTCTGGAGGGAAACTCGGAGAGCAGTGGCTGAGGGAGGAACAGTGGATTCTGTCGGTGCCTCAGTTCACACAAGCAGTCCAGGCAGTGAGCCCTGCTCCCCCTTCTCAGCACGGGCCAGAGCCTGCCAGGGACCTCAGAGGAGAGCTTCAGAGCCCCAGCTGTAGTTCTAGGCGAGGGAGTTGAGATGGATTATTTGGAGCAGTTTGGAACCTCCTCATTTAAGGAGTCTGCTTTGAGAACACAGTCTTTTATACCTCAAATTTCACCCACTCCTGAAAGACAGCCCTAATAAATTGATTTCTGTGGCCACTGAGACAAACAACAATCACGATGTCAAGCCTTTCTGAGGAAGTCCACCTAAAGTGAGGTTGCTGGCATTTGATTTCTTAGGAGCTCCGGATATTCCCGTGACAGACTCTCCCCCATGTATCCTTGGGCCCTGGGCCTGCCTGTCCATTGATCCCATGATAGATATACTGCAGTTTAGCCAGAAGGACCTGGTCATGGTGGTTAAAACCATGCAAATGGAGAACCTGGAATTGAAAAGCAAGTATGAGGAGCGCCACATGAAATGCCTGCAGATGGGGAAAATTATGGACAGATTTTTAGGGACTATACCCCAGGTGATGGGAGGAGGCTCAGAAACAGAAAGAGCTTGCTAAAGCTGAAATCTAAAAGGTCTGAAAGAAAAAGATCAGTTTACTACAGACATGACCACATCTTGCTCTGACTTTTTCAAGGAATTTAAGAAGCAGGTGATGGAAGGCTATCCCAAGAATGAAGAATGGTTGCAGGAGTGTACTGAGGATTTCATATTATGAATTGAAACAGAAGGCCAAAGATACCACGCATTAAAGACTCACACAGAAGAGGAACTCAATCCAGCAGATGAGGAAATTACTCAGGTCCAGAGGAAGGCCCCACTGGCCTTCTGAGTGAGCCTGATAAAGGACCAGATGCAGAACCATTCCCTGCAGACCATTCAGCAGAAGACTAAAGAAAACGACTGAACCGATCATAATCTGTTACAACCTGATTTCGGAGGTGGAAGAACCTGTTGTGGAAGTCACTGTCCAGTGACTCTCTCCCTCCTGTCTCAACATGTAACTGTTTGTAAGCAAGCCTTGTGTACTTCTCTCATTTTTCTTTTGGTCGAGATCTAAGTGATCCTCAAAGAAGAAAAAAGAGATAGCTATAGAAAATTAAGTATGAGATATTTTGACTTGAGTTACATTTTTTTCATGTGCTGACTTAGTAAATGTTGATTCTAATCTTTCATTAGAAAGTTTTTGTATCCTGTCAAGTATGTGCTCGTGAGGTTTATTGAAAAAAATTTTTTGGTGCTTTATAGTGTAGATTTTTTATTTACTGTAGGTAAAACACTGCTTTGAAATTATCAGCCAACAGGACCAAGATTCACTGTATTTCGTTAGTATGTATGTGCCGCAAAAGCGTGGTATGTAAGAGGTCACGATGAGGGGCCTAGTCTCCTTATGAACTCATGTAATGCTAACTTGCAATGATAAAATAACTGCTATAACCTGTCTTTAATCACATCCCACAAAAATATAATTAGAAGTTTTTACTACGGTCCTCAGGTATATAAATTGTCCACAAAGGAGGCAGTGATAAGTTTTTCCTGATATGAAGATGTCTAACTAGGAATTCAAGAAGATATTTCAGTGAGACTATACTGACCACCAGAATGACAAAGCCCATGGACATTAAAGACAGGCAGTTATAGATTTTCCTTCTTAGAGGGTTTCAAGAACCCCTTTGTTTAAAAGGAGGGCTTAGATCTTTTTTTCTTTCCTTTCTTTGACCCCATAAGAGAATCACAGAATTTTGAACCAAATTTTAATGATCAAGTAATGCCTTTAATTACAGAAGAAAAACTGAGGCCAAAAATGTAAAGTAACTTACAAAAAACCAGGGAGCTAAGTCCTTTAATATAAGGGAATAAAGCCAAGTGGACAGATCTCAAGGTGGATAACATCCCCGTTTTTTTTTTGGCCATAATGAGTTACATGCATCTTGAAAAACACCACTTTCACCAGATTCAGCACCAAACATAATAATTGCTCAAGTTGGGTTTTCTGTCTCCTTTGTAAGCTGCATGTTTTCAACATATATTTTTAATTTTTTTAAAAAATTTTATTCATTTTTCCCCCAAAGCCCCAGTAGATAGTTGTATGTCACAGCTGCACATCCTTCTAGTTGCTATATGTGGGACGCGGCCTCAGCATGGCCAGAGAATAGGTGAGTCGGCACACGCCCGGGATCCGAACGCGGCCCACCAGCAGCGGAGCGCGCACTTAACCGCTGAGCCATGGGGCCAGCCCTCAACATATATTTGTAAACTATGGGGTGAAAACTAAAAAACGCCTTAAAATGAGAATCAAATAGGCCATTCTTTACACACAAAAGCATTATTTTACCTGTGCATGGGAATAAGCACTTAGAATTTTTTCTCAGAATACAACCGTGTTCCTGAGGACATGTATTTTGTGTTATTCATCCTTGTTTCTCCTGTAACACCAAGTACAGTACTTGGCATATGATAATGTAAAATATATAAATTTTAAAAGTAAATACTTGTTCCATGTAGTGTCCAGTGCCTGGATTTTTCTGACCAAAAGGCACAATCTGTGAGACGGTTGTGGTTGTGGAACAAACACGGAAGTATATGGAAAACTGGTTCCTGGGGGAGAAATGTGGAAGTTTGGCTGCCAGGCACACTAACCCTGGAAGCTGTCTCCCGGCCTCAGCTATCCAGATCAGTGTCCACAGGGGTGTGACAAACTCAGGCACTGCCTAGGTTGGCCCTGATTTTCAAAGGCGGTCAGCAGCGGCCTTCAGAGCCGGCAGGTGGCAGGGGCGCGACTCTGGGTGGTCCATTCAATCTGTAAGCGGTCCCCTGCCAGTGGCTGGGCGGCTGGCCAGAGGGCAAAGGCAGTGGGGTTGGCAAGAACAGGCGGCGACCAAGCTTCCCAGCCAGGCTCGGGTGCCAGCAGCTGGGAAGTGGAGCGCTCTTCGTGAATCAAAGCCAAGGAGTGCTGGGCTTGTGGCGAGCGCAGTGGCTCGAAGCCGTCCCTCCCGACACAAGGGGTCCCGGCCCGGTTGCTTTCTATCCATTTCTGCCAAAGGCCCGCTTCAGCGCGTCCACGAAGCCCTCGTAATGAGCCAGGATGGGGCTCTCCCTCTCGATGTACGGGGCTACCCACTCTTCTGCCGCCCCACTGAGGCGACTGATAAGAAACGCCACCTTCAGGGTGTCGTTCGAGAATCTGCCCTCGAAGAACCTCATGTAAGAGGCCGCTTGGATCAAAAACTCGGGCAGCCGGGCGGAGTCGCCTTTAAAGGTTTCGGGAAAAGCCACCGGGCACGGACGCACCTGGGCCAGCAGGTTGGCTTTCTCACACAGCAGCCGCCGCACCTGCTCCATGAGCTCGTTGTTCTCTCTGCGCAGGGCATGGTTCCGGGTCAGCAGGTCCTGCATCAGGACCGCCAGCGCGTCCATCCCCGAGGCCCCGGCGCGCCCGCTCCGGCTGAGCTTTGGCCCCGCCGAGGCGTCGCCGGAAGTGCGTGTCGGGCTCGGGGGCGGGGCCCGGCGGCGGCGCGGTGCGGCCTCCGCGGACCAGGCCGGGCCTAGGGCCGGGCGCCGGCGGGCAGGGTCGCCGGGACTACTGGCCGGAAAAGCGAGAGCCGGGAGACACGAAGCCGGCGGGCCCGGGAGAGAGGGGGACATCTGAACCAGACGGGGGCGAAGACGGAGGACACAGCGCCGCGCTCGGCGGAGGAATCTGATCTCGTGGCAGCGTGCAGAGACTTCCTGAGGGCTCCCTCCGGGGGGTGGTCCGCGGTGCTTAAAGGGAAAGCTGCCGACCTGGCAGCAGTGCCTGCCTGTGATGCAGCGGTGCCGCTGTTGTTCCCCAGGGTGCCATGTAGTTGTCATGTTTATTGAGTGTTTCGTATTCTTGGCTTTTCACATGCCTAGGGCCTCACAGCTACGAAGAGGCAATTCTTATGAAGCCCTCCGTTCGTCTAGAGTAGAATATCCCGTGGGGCTTCCAACTTGTCAGACAAAGAGCAGCTCTCTTTCATGGAGTGCCCCTCATATGCTGGGCGCCTTACAGAATCTCAGCTAATCCTCCCGACTGTGTGAAGCCCGTGATTTTTTTGTTTCTTGAGGACACAAGACAGCTCAGAGAGTATACAAACTTAGCAGAACAGTGGGAGAATGCTTCCTGAGTGGCAGGTTTTGAAGATAAACTTCAGGAGGTAGGCAGGATGCATAGGTAGGAGAGGACCATGTCTAGATTAATGCTCTGTGTGTTTATATTAATGAAAGGAACATATACCATCTGGTCCAGTCCAGCCGCCATTTACAGGCGCTGGCTGTGAGCACTGCTGCTCTCCTATAATAGGACTGCTCTGACCTTCTTCCTACCTAACCAGGCTCGTATTTTTGTCCACCGGTGTGAAATGCTAGCTAAAGAAGACTTCAACTGTGTGTGCGTGACTGCAAGCAGCAGTTCGTTAAGTGACCACCCCCTGCGTGTTGCCTTAACTGAGGGGACAAGCTACCAAGAACCACTTTCAGGCCCTGGCGCTCCAGGTCTTTGTCCCGCTGTATCCACATTTGAGGTCCTCAGATACTGGCCGGGTAGACTCTCCCATACCAGAACCACCTAAGGTGAAACTGGGTAGAAAATTTCAGGAGAGGTTATTGCCATGTTGGTTCAGGGACTAAGAAGCTCAAATAATATATCCTGATGAGTAGTAACATTTACTTTAAAGAATATGATTTTTGACTTTTTAGAGATGAAAATTAATACTTTCTGCCAGAAGCTTCCATTTTTCATTTACGTGGATATGGTAGGTTTTGATTCTGGCTTTCAATTGATTTACTTTTATTTGGTATTTTGCTGTTGGGGACTACTTTGTATTAGTAAAATAATATATTTCCTAATGAAACTGCAGGTCATAAATTGTATTGAAACACTTTCAAAAGCAAAATACAAAACTATTTGATATCAGTTATTTACAATACATGTACGCCCATAGAAAGTCATACAACAAAAAAGTGGTTTTAAAAATTGTGGTAGTAAAATTTTTACTTTCTCTGTCTTTATTGTGGAAAATTTTTACTTTTATGTCTGGATTTTTGACGATTTTATAATTAAGACAAACATTAAAATTTATGAAAAAGAAAAAGAAATATAAAAGAAATGCTTTCAATTTTAACATATTAATTATCTAAAGGGAATTTTGGACACTGCAAATGATGAATGCAGAGCTTAACTGAGACTGCATCTCAGACTTCATCTGAAGAGTATGTGGTGTTCCTCTACCTTTGTAGCTAGAAATTAATTTTTTGCTGAGGAGAAAGATAACATGTCATCATATTCAATTCATCTAAAAAAGGAAATCCATTTACTGAGTCAGTATAATTTATGGAATTTCTCTGGAGCTACAGATAACATCAAAATGTCATTTAAAGTTTCAGAGCCAAAATGAACTCTTACTTTGTCCTCAATATGAAATGTAAAATTTATGAACCCAAATACAAGACTGAGCAGTCATGCTCAAAATGCTCAGGATGTGCCTGCCATTAGGCTAATAATAGCCATCTGTATTCTTTTGCATTTATCATATGTTACAAAATACATTTTTAAAAAAAAACACATTATCAGATGTATGCTCAATAGACTTATGTAATGTATATATTTAAGTTATAAAGCTTAATAATAAGACAAACACTCCTGAATCTATGATCCAGATTAAGACCTAGAATGTTGAATTTACTGTGTGGTACTCCCGTATCCCATCTTCCCCAAGTTAACCAGTACCCTGAAATTTGTGTTAATCATTCTCTGACTTTTAAAAAAATATCATTTTATATCTATCTATACTTATATATCTATTTGCTTAGCGTTGCTTATTTCTGAGTTTTATAAAAACAGTATCAGACTGCTGTAGATTTCTGCAACTTGCTTCACTAGTTGAAGCTTGTTTCTAAAATTCCTTAAAGTTGTGTCATTTGCAGCATTAGTTTATTTCTTCTTATTGATGTATAATACACCATTCTGTGAACATACCATAGTTTATGTGCCTGTTTTCCTGGTAATGGACATTTGGATTGTCTCCAGCTATTTGCTATTGCAAACAATGATATGATTATTCTTGTACATGTCTCCAACTTCACGTTAAGAATTTCTTTAGGGCTTATATTTAGGAGCAGAATTGCTAGATTGGAGGGCATATGCCTGTAAAACTTTATAGGATAATGGTACATTGTTTTCTAAAATGGTTATACAAATTTGTACGTTCACCAACACTTCGTATTTTCAAATCTTTTAAATTTCAAAACCTAGTAGAAATAAAATTATATCTAATTGGTCCTTTTAATTTATATTTTCTTGATTGCTAATGTGTTTGAGCATCTTTTCATATGTTTTCTGACCATTTATGTTTCTTGTTCTGTGCCATGTTTATTCATGCATTTTACCCATTTTGGGGAGGTCATTTTTTTCTTATTAATTTGTAAAAGATCTTTACATACCCTGGGCATGAAATTTTTATTGGTTATGTGGATTGAATATATGTTCTTCAGGTTTGCAGTTTACCTTCTTACTTTCTTTTTGTGTCTTTTGATGAGCAGAAGTTATTATTTTAATTTAGTTGAATTTATCCATCTTCTGTTTTGTGCTTAACATTTTTAAATGTCTTTAAATAAACAAACAAACAAAAACCTCTCCCAATCCCAAGGTCAGAAAAATATTCTCCTATACTCCTTTTCAATTTAAGACTTTACTCTATTTGGAACTGAATTTTGTGTGATAGGTATCCAATTATTTTTTTCTTTATGACTCATCACTTATTCCAACAATATTTATTCAACAGTCTCTCCTTTCCTCACTGGTTTGCTATGCTGTCTTTCTCATATATCAAGTTTCTATATGTGTGTGTGTGTGATTCTGGGCTTTCTATTCTGTTTCATTTATCTGTTTGACTGTATTTCCACAAATACCAAGCTGTCTTAATTTATGGAGCTTCCTAATAAGTTTTTATATTGGGTAGGATAGGTCTTATTGAGTCTTGTTTGTCTCCTTCAGGAGCATCTTAGCTATTCTTGGGTCTTTGTCTTCTATATCCATTTTAGATTTACGTTGTTGAGCTCCTATCAGTCTGTCTTACTCCTCTGCTTCTTTTCAGATTTTCTCTTTGACTTTGGGGCTGAGATTTCACTACAAAGTGTCTAGGGGAGGATTTCTTTCTATTTAGCTTGTTTAATACATTTTATGCTTCCTGTGTCTGTGGATTCATGACTTTGGTTCTGGAAAATTTCCAGCCGTTAGGTCTTCAAATATTGCTTCTCTTTCATTCTTTTTATTTTCTGCAGCTGGGACTCATATTGGCTGTTTGTTAGACCTTCTTATTACAGCTTCTCCTTTTCTTGTCTCATACTTACCAGATCCTTGTCTCTGTCTGGATAAATTCTTTGAACTATCTTCCATTTCACTAATTTTTTCTGCAATTACTTTAAACCTGCTGTTTAAACTATCCACTGAATTCTTAATTTTGACAATTTTTTATTTCTAGAAGTTTATTTTTAAAAGTGGTCTGGCTATTTTGATAATCTGATGTCTTTGGATATACCAGTTATAATAGTCAACAATCCCTAGTTTCCTGGTCTGTGTCACACTTATTAAATGGTAGAGCCCAGAATTAAATTTGGGTCTGTCTGATTCCAAAAGCTATTTCTTTCAATTATACCAGTGTTTTCCACACTTCATTCATATGAATAGCACCTTCATAATTTTTTTATTTTATTTTATTTATTTATTTATTTTCCCCCCTAAGCCCCAGTAGATAGTTGTATGTCATAGCTGCACGTCCTTCCAGTTGCTGTATGTGGGATGCGGCCTCAGCATGGCCGGAGAAGCGGTGCCTTGGTGCACACCCGGGATCCGAACCCGGGCCACCAGCAGTGGAGCACACGCACTTAACTGCTAAGCCATGGGGCCGGCCCACACCTTCGTAATTTTTGACATGCAAGTACTGTATTAATAATTGATTGAATAAATGAGTATATCCATTAATATGTTTCAGCTCTTAAAACAGTGTCTAACAAATACTAAGTGCTCAATAAATGTCAGCTATTATTATTTTTAATACTTTTCTTTAAATCAACTTTATTTTTTAAACTTGTTTACTTTAGCCTTATCCTAAGTAATACTAGCTGTGACATTCTAGTTTTGATGTCTAATTTATATTTATTTTAGTACAGTTTAAGGCACATACTTATTCAAAATATTTGTGAATATAGGCTTCAAAATATCTTTTGTACCATCAATGTTACCTGTACCACATTGAAAAACACAAAATTTAACAGGCACTCAATAAATTCTGTTTGAATAAATGTTTCTTTAATTCTGCTGCTAAACTAAAGCATAGTTAATAGCTAAATGCTCATCTGAGGTCCATTCACCTCCTGTCTGTGTGACTTTGAGCAATTTAACCTCTCCATACCTCAGTTTTTCTTTTTTAAATTGAAGGTAGTGATGGCTATAATTAAATTTAAAGGAGATGATATATATAAAACTTTTA